TCGATTGTTGGCACGACGAAGACGCCGCGTCAGAACGGAGCAACAGAGTGCGACGTTTCAGGCCTTCGTATCACCAGGAGAACATGCACCGTAGATACGTCACAAACGAAGGGCATTTCTGTCGTTCTTGGTAAGTAGGAAAAAGATGAGAGAAGATGACGAGGAAAGAACGAAAGTATTAGAAGGAGATAGTGACTTGAGAAATGTGGGATGAAGAGAAAAAGAAGTGAGAGCGTGGGGGGGGGGAGGGGGAGGCAGAGAGAAAGAGAGATGCAAAAGAAGCTCACTGACACAGTCACGGATGTGAACAACGACGAAATGCGGTATTTGGATGCAACAGGTTGCTTAGTGCTCATTCCGATGGGGTTGCGAACCGGAGAAACTTAACGATGATGCCGCGATACATGAATGCGAAACAAAATGGCAATCTAAAATTGTTGGAATGCGAAATAACTGAAGAGAGACAAGGCTAAACTGAAAAAGGAAAAGATAAATAATCCTTCCTTGTCATTGCTCCTGGTATGTGCTGCTACCTCACATGAAAAATATATAATATCCTCGTATAAATAGTTATCTTTTTATCTCGCAAATTAACAGAAATAGATCCAACAAATGTACTATCAAGTTAAATAGTTCAAACTGAACTTTATTGGAAGCGCAATCACTTAGAAAGTTATCTATGTTAGAGATGAAAAAACATGCATAACTTTTGCACGGTAAAGTAAATTTTTCGACATGACAAAAGTTGTAGCGTTCATTTTAATGTTTGAAATTGAAATTAAAAACAAAGTTTAATGATAAAAATTCGAAAAAGAAAAATTAAAAAAACAGAATAATTCTTAATATTTTTCTTTAACTCTCCCTTCCCCCGTTTCTTAATTCTAATTCTACTGTTGTATTTCGGATTTTTAAAAATTAAATTATAATTATTTAGATCGTAGATCGTAAGAATATATCTCGTCTTTAAATCATAAAGTATTATATGGCATTCCGGTTGCATCAAGTTCGTTATAGATGAGGAATCCGATTATTTCGAATCCGGTCAAAATTTCTAAGAACAAATTAATGTTTCGTGTGCTTCTTGAAAGTGAAAAGAGTAAACATAATTAGAAATGAAAACTCGCACAATAATATAATTTGAGTTATTAATAATATTAATCTACATACAAGTCTTACTTGTACAATCAAATATTCAACTCATTAATTACTATTCAGCATATTGTAACTCAACAAACTTTTGATTTTTCATCAATATAATATATTCATAATTCTTACAAAAACTCATGATGCCTAATTTCTGATTTGTAAAATGTCGAACGTATATTACTTATAATTAACATTTTAGTTAATTAAAATTTTTTTCTTAAAATTAAGTAATTAAAATTTACATATTTAGAAATAAAATTATAAAAATTATAAAACAAATTAATGTATAATAAAATATATTTATAATAAGTCAATGTTCTTCATAATTAACTTACGATTATTTTTACATATTTTCTTTTATTTTTCTACAATAAATTGATTTTTATGTATGTACATGTATATCATATAAAAATATAAATATAATTACTAATGGCATCGCGATTTGTTTCACGCAAACACATTTCTTAAAATTAAATGATTGTATACCTTAAGATATATTATTGGAAAATAAATTCAGCATTTATTAACTCTTTGAATACCCTATATTATATATATTATATATATTATATATATTATATATATTATATATATTATATATATTATATATATTATATATATTATATATTATATAGTAGCTTATAAATAAAACAAAGAGCCTATAAATAATAAAAATAAAAGATTCTGTTGCTGGAATTGACTAAATTGATAACTTCTTTTATTATGAGAATCAGAGAGATAAGAGTGTATGTGATTTTCACAAAAACATTATTAGGAGTCGTATAAAAATTTAAATTTGTAAATACGATTTTT